TTTATTGTTAGGAAGAGTGCTGAAGATGATTAGAATCTTCACAAGAAACACAAAACATGTTTTTTACTCCAAAAGAGGCCAGACCTCTCAGTTTAGGTGCTCTGGTTGCACGATCTTAGTGCTTTTCCAGTAATTTCTTTCTCATGTATAACTGATTAGTGTTAGAGGATTTGCTGATGATTCAAGCAAAATATATAACTTAGAAAAATTTTCAGATGTACATCGTTCTAAAAGGATTTTCCTCATGTTTTAAATGTCACTCAGTTTCACTGAATATGAAAGTATACATTTTGTCGTCAGTGACATTTTCACTTCAAAATAAATATCCACTTAGAGGAAAATGTTAGTTGCCTTGACTGTTCTTTGGAGCATCAGTTAATCCAAGATTTATGAAAACGGCTTTCTGAACGCAAATATCAACCACTGTATTCAGAATTAAGTTTTGAAAGCATTTCAAAAGATCTTTATGAGAGATGGACACAGCAAATTAATTGTTTGCCTTTTTTTACAATTTCATCTGCTTCATAATCACAAGTTACTTTTCACTTTTCAATAAAAAGCACTTTTTTTTTAAACAAATTTAATATAGCAGCCAACATTTGCCTGTTCATGCTCTTATCGGTGTCACTTAGCATGACTCCTGTCCCGGTCCCTAATGTCACTTCCTGCTTCCTGTTTTCCCTCTTTCCAAGTCATGCTACCCCTGCTTCCAGGTTCCTTCTTCAGTCTCCCCAGAGCCGAAGATGTCCCAAACGTGGATCCTCAGTGCTTTTCTAGCCCTTTCTTCTTGTGTACTTTGTACACTGGTGTTCATGTCCCAGCATTCCTACTTCTTTATAACCATTCATAGTGACCCCGTTGTAAAAATTTCCATCCCTTCCTCCCCATTGAGAACAATCCTTCATGGATTTTAGTCCTTAGACCTATTTCAAATATCACTTTACCCAAAGTTTGTCACAGTCCCCTCCCCGAGAGGATGTTTGCTCCCACCTGGAATCTCTGTAGACCTTTTTCCCTCTGAAGGAACGCCATTGACAGCACAGTACTTGTGGACCTCAGCCTCAAAGGCACAACACCTTGGGTGTAAGTCAAGTTTGAAGGCTTCTTTCCTGTGTAATGATCTTACCTCAGGTCTGTAATCTCTCCATGCCTTGGTTTTTGTTTTTATACCTGTAAAATAGAGATGCTAATTATACCTATCTCACAAAGTTGTGAGTATTGCAAGTGTTGATATATTTTCAGTAATTAGGATGGTATCTGACCCCATGTATTTATTGTAATTCCTCATGACTCGTTTATTCCAGCAAGTATTCCCAGCATGAAATTCCCCGTACTCAAACCTCTTTCAGAGATTTTTATCGTTTTGTCATTTGTTTCTACTCCTTGTGTGCATCTATTCCTATTAATAGATGGCACTATTCTTCAGTTTAGGGCTGTTTCTTATAGTCCTTGCAACCCACAGCACCCTCTGAATGCTGAGCACAAGCCAAATACTGAATGAGTAACTGGATTTTGCACATATGTGGAAAGAAAATAATTAAAAATAGAAACCAGGTGTTCCCCAGTATTTTACTCATTGACTACCGTAGGGCACCTCCCTACCCTTCAGCAGTCATTTATGAAAGAGAAGGGATAAAGATGGAAGGGGGAAGGAAGTAGAAACTTCTCTCATCCATCCCTGACTATAAATCTTGTCTTTTCTAAAAACCTTGCATGGAACATTTGACCCATGTCACAAGACTTGTGTTGGGACTTCTCAGGGTGTGTGTCCAGGACAAAGCTCCATCATCTCTGTGCTGTACAGGCACTCAGCTGCCAAAGAAATAATAGCCCCTTCTTGCCTGTGACCCATCCCTACCCCCTAAGAATCAAATGACCCTCTCAGCTTTAAGTGTCCTTTTTCATCAGATAGTTTCCACCTTGAAAACTTGCTAGCTGACAATAAGCTAAAATAAGCCCAACATAAAGGGACTGTGTCCATGTAGAGATGGTATCTTATGAGAATGTGGCATTTACTTGTAATAAAGAGCTTGAGCTTTGGCCATGCATTAGAAAGTTGCCCTGACAAGGGATGCTGACACTGAGTTCTTGACAGTCTGTTTATAACTGATTCAGTAAGTAAACAGATTATATGATTCTTTTTAAGGAAACACTGTTTACGTTGGCTCTCTTACACCCAAACTAGTGGTAAGCCCTTCCCAACTCTCATACAACATAGTGTATTTCTATATAATACCAAGCATCTACAAATACTACTTATCCCCTTACTCATTTCTCTGAAGTAGGAGGAAGAATATGCACTTTATAACAGAAAAACAAAGGTACAGAGAAAACAGCCTTCCTAAATCTCTTAACAGACTTATAAGAGGAAAGTAGATAATT